TTATGTGATTTTGCCAAGGATTACAAAAGTTATTTCTGTTTTTGAAAATATGTTTTAAGCGAGCACTAGATAGCAGCAAAGGTAATCTATATGTAAAATAGGGGAAATGAGCATTACCAATTAAATATCCAAATCTCTAATATTGGCAGAGAACTGAATTATTTTGAGCTCTTACCATTAGCTGATGGCAGATTCTGCTGAAGAAGAATGTTCTTCTGATTGCCAACCTCCTTCATTCTCCCACTTGTTTCCTCATCTTTTTGGTTTATTCTGCTATTATTGTGCCCTTCAACCCTGATTCTAGCATTCTTCTCTTTATTCTCAGTCATTTTCTCCTCAGCTCCACGTACATGTGCATTTATCAACCTCTTCTTTACTTTCAGTTTTTTCACAGTCCACATTCTGTTATCTTCTCCTTTTTGCTCTTCCTCTCTTTTCTGCAGATTTTCCAAGATCTTTTTCATTAACTCAAAAGCAGAAAGAGCTGGACGGGACCCAGTGGATTTATTCTTTGTGGCTGATTGCTTGGGTCGTGAACACCCTGTAATGCACTGCACCTTTAACGTACTTCCTTCTAGAAGAGATTTAGTTGTGTCTCTTTTAGCATGTCCCACTTGTTTATTTTTTACAAGACTGGACTGTTTGTTAGCATGCAACTCTGAAGATTTTGACCGAACCAAAGTCTTCTGTAATGTCTTTGTTGTTTGTGTGGCACACTTCACGTTGTGGCCACTAGTTGTGTTTATGACTTTCCTTAATGAACTCGTAACACCGCAGCTTGAGTCAGCTGTGCTGCTGGTGCACTTTTCCTCACTATGCAGCCTGCTAGTTTTATTCTTTCTCTTTTTCTCCTTTGGTAGCAAAGCCTCTACCTTCATCTTCTCTAATTGTTCTTTTTTTCGTTTTTTCTTCCGTTTGGCTGGAAGCTCGTCTCTCCCAGGCAGTTCTTCAATAACATCCAGCTTCCTCTTCCTACTCTGGCTTCTGGTCATCCTGCCAGATTTAGGCTTCTGTTCACTTTGCTGTCCGGTTGATTTATCCATTTTCACACCTGACACCTGCCAAAAACCTGATGGCTTCTGTGGTCTACGAGCAGATGATACTCGTGGTCTGTTCTTGGATAATGAGGCTTTTGATCCCTGTGTTGTTGTGTTCATAGAAGTGGCATGTGCATTTGATGTGTGTGTGTGGACTGTGTAATTCTGTGAGGATTGTCCACAGGTCTGGGTTCCATCTGTTATGTTGGGCACCATCCCATCTTGAACGTCTGACTCGCATACACTAACGTGTTGCTCAAACGTTCTCAGAAAACTATCAAGTATGTCAGACAGCTCACCTTCAGAATGCGGTTGGGTTATACCCAGATCCGTGAGCTTAACTGAGGACTGTGTTCTTGGATGATCCATGTTGGAATCTACAGTTGCAGTATTCGTTATTCCATTTTGATTGTTGGGCATAAATGGGAGCTGCACAATGACGTCATCTATAAGCCAGTCCATTGGCTGAGCGAGGCTGCTCTGATTGGCTGCTGGGAGAGCTGCGGTGTGCATCAGGGATGGACCTGGAGGGTTCATGGTTTTCGGATCAGGTGGTGAAATTCCACTGAAATTTTGGGAAACATCTGATTCAGGCAAGGGACATTTGCGGGGGCGACCTCTTCGCCCTCTTCGAGGTGGAGCTGTAACCTACAGAAGTGTTGTAATTCAGAGAACATTTGAGTAACTGCTCTGTTGCATTTATAATTTGAAGGGGTCATATCACACGTTAATATTTTTATATTTCATATATTTTTATTTTTAATATACAAGTTTTGGGGTCAGTAAGATTTTTTGATGTTTTTAAAGAAGTTGTTTTTTAGCTAATCATGGCTGCATTTGTTAAAAAAAACACAGGAAACAAAAACAGTAATATTGTGAAATATTTTTACAATTTAAAATAAATGTTTTCTATTTTAATATATTATAAAATATTAATTTATTCCAGTGATGTCAAAGCTGAATTTTCAGCAGCCATTACTCCTGTCTTTAGTGTCACATGATCCTTCAGAAATCATTCTAATATGCTGATTTAGTGCTCAAGTAACATGTCTTATTATTATCCATGCTGAAAAAAGTTGTGCTGCTTAATATTTTTGTGAAAACCGTAAACATGGTTTTTCATGATTCTTTAAAAATAGTTCAAAAGAGCATTTATTAAAATAGATCTTTTGTAACATTGCCATTTTTGTTCAGTTTAATCCATTCTTAGAGGTCAAGCTGACACCAAACTTATGAATGGTAGTGTATTTTTTATATTTTAAATATTTCTTCAACATGTATGTAGGTGTCATGCATCAGTGCATTCATCTGTCTGACATTGCAGAAGTTTTAGTCTCACTGAATGGACTTTTCAGTTTAGAGGGGTTGTTTTGAGTATTCCAAGTTACAGCATGTTTACATGTTTTATCCAAAGCAACACTTCTTAAGCTAATTTTCCTCAAAAGATCAAGGAAAATTTGATTGCTCATGATATGACCCATTTAAATCATTAATTCAAACAGAAGTAAAATAACAAAAATGTCATACCTCCTCATCTGAAGATGTCGTGAGACACCTACCTGACACACTGGTTCTACCAATCTGCCTCTGCTCCCTGTCTGTCTCTGCCTGGGTCTCCCCCTTGATGAAGACCTGCCTCTCTCTCCTTCCTCTTTTATCGCTCCTCTGCCTTGTCGTCTCCGTTTAAGCCTCTCGTGATTCTTGAACATTTGTCTGGTGTCTAGCATCCTGCCAATCCTACCCCCACCTTGCCCCATCCAGGCCGACCTCGCCACTCTTCCGCACCTTTTCATATTTTGCACTCTTTTACAAATACTCAACCCTTCTCCCTTCAGAGCAAATCCTCCGCGTGCCCCAGCCCTCCGCACCCTTGTCGCCCTTCCCTCAGTTTTGACGTCCCCTGTCATTCCTCTCTGACTCTGCTCCCTCTGTCCTGCACTCTGCCCAATGTTGGTGTCAAGAAAGTAACTGATAAAACCTGGGATATTGTTCTTAAACCGTGCAAATGCTTCTAAAACACATTCCTCACCCTCTGAAACACGCCCCAATGCTGGCTGGCTCTCATTGGCCAATGTCTCAACATTTGTACTATGAGAAGGGTAAGGGTGAGGTGGCAGTGGGGTTGGAGGCTGTTGGTATGAAGCTGAAGGGGGACATACATAGACCTGGGGCAAGCAGGCCGGTCCACTCACTGTGGGATACATAGCGCTTTCAGGCACCACATCCATGACTTGAAAGGAAGGCATGCTCTCTGGATTAACCTGGACGTTTTGAAGTGTGGCCAGGGTGATATCAGAGCCATCGGTGTACGTGCAGAGCCCCTGATCGGTCCTCCATGATGACGTGCCAGTCAAATGAACACTTTCAATGGTCTCTTTGGAGTTTTGACATTCAGAAGGGACGGTCTCAGTTTGACACTCTCTCTCTGCCACCTCTCTCATGCACTCCGTCTGTGTGTTTCGCTCAGTTGCCGGCCTCTTTGCTACTTGCTCAGGTATGTCGATGCCTAGTTTGCAGGCTGCTGATAGGACTTCCTCTTTGTCCTCGTTCAACTGACCCGAGTACAGCAGGCTGACCAGACTGAGCAACGTACAGGCCTCCACAGCTTGGACTTCAATCAGTCTCCTCTGTCCATTCCGGGGTGATGGCATGGCTGACAGAGCACCACAGAGCCAAGGACTGAAGGCAGACAACACACAGCTGTGCACCGGCACAGACACACCTGGATAGGGGTATGATAAGTACTGTAAACATAATAGAAGATGGAAAAAGACTGATTAATGAGCAGAGGATGGACTTTCTATGTCAAACCTTGGGTCTGCAGCACAATCAGTCACAGAACTCTGCCCTGCTCTGCTGTTTTTGCAGCTTTCACCAGAAGCGTCTCGAACGTCAACATCTGTGACAAACGAAGACATACTCAGACACAAATGCAAAGCATTGTAAAATATGCAAGCTCTAAAAAATGTAATGCTGCCGTTTTTCCGTGCAGCTGTGCAGACTGCAGACACCTGTTAAGGCTCGGGACAGTGCACGCTGATCTCATGGGAGTCGCGAGATGTGCAAACAGTTGTTAACATGATTTACTTTTCATGCACTCGCATGGAAATAATAAATATATATATATATAATTGTGTTTAAGCAACTAAAATCGTTCCATGCTTGATACTGAAGCCAGTCCAGTAAAAACAGTCTTGGCGAATAAAAACTAACTTCTGACCTTTTGTCGTTATGACATGAGAAAATTCAATAACGGCTGTCGTTTATCCAATTTTGTCTCTCCTGTCTGTGTCGAAATCACTGGATTGTACGTATGGTTGCACGTGCATCGCTACAAACTCGTGGAGATCTACAGGTTTGCGCAAATTACCGCGCCGAACTGACTCAAGCATTTCCACAGTGGTTCCCTTTCATGGGAACTTCGAACTGCGTCCTCTAGGGGTCGCTATGGGGAACGCCTCGTCGTGACCCGTGTCTGAAGCATACATTGAAAAAACACCAACTCGTTGGCCTACTCAGGGAACCATGGTTACATAAGTAACCTGAGACGCTCTGTCTGATTGTCCGAGTATGTGGGAAAGCCACAAACTCTTTTATTCATATCTGCACAAGTGATATATTTATTTTATTTTTTGTTTTTGCGTCCGTGTGAGAGTGGGAGAGTGGCAAAACATTTTTAAATGTGGCAAAGCATTTAAAAATGTTCACAAAGAAAATGTTAGTGGCGCTTGAACGTGTTCTGGGTTCTGAGCTGCTAGGTGGTTGTTTATAGTACTTGTGATGACAAAGAGTAGAGTTCTGATCATCATCATTATTATTTGAATATTTATCTGTTTGCTATTCTATTTATATATCTAAATATTATTGTGGCAGATTATTTGAAATAATGAAACAGCAAAAAAAAAAAAAAGCCAATAAAATTGCTATATCAAATCATGTGGGCCGAAACATCGCGAGATTTCGGAAATTCACACAGAGGTCGCGAGGTCGACTCAGCTGACCAACCTCTCGTGCGTATTACGGAGTGAAGCGCGTGCGCCCTGAGCTGTGAAATAAATAACGCCGATTTTTACCTTCTCACGAAACGTGATATTCAACAATATATCGCAGGTATGAATAAATTTCATATTACTTTCATGTTAATGTAAATATGCGCAGAAGCTGCAGGTATTTCAGGGCTGTCAGTGGTTGCAGTCAGTGGCTGTGTGAAGAGTTAGCTTGTCGGCTACATTGTTAGCTCCTCTGGGTACTGAGGAGTGTTCTAGATTTTTCCGACATATTTCAACTAAAATTAATAGGGTACTTTAGAACTACATGATGAACCAATCTTCTACTTTTATTTACGTATTATAAAAAAAAAAAAAACTGGCGACGCTTGACAGGTGTACAGTAATAGCTGCAAATCTGTAATTGTTGCCGGTTGATTTTCAGTTGTCATGACTAGTTAGTCAGTATTTACGTTGACAAGTGTAACTTGGTTCTGCTTTGGGTGGACATTATGAATGTATTTCCTACCGATTTGTAGTAGTGCCTTGGTGAAACAATACAATGTTCTTTCAACAAATTGTTGTAAGAAAGCTTCGTTTAAATAAGCATAATTAATAAGCATATAGCTAGTAAGAGCTAATGTGCGTGTGTTTTGCCCACTCCCACACCTGGCAAACTACACAATGACTAACTGCTTAAGAACTGTTTCAGGGTTTAGCAAGACTAACTCAAGTCACTTTGTCCCTTTCTTCGAGTTAATAAGCAGCCTGTGTGCATGAATATGTGATGTGTATGTTCTGAAGTTCTGCGTGCAAGCTTATTATTTTTATTTTTTCTCAAGAAATAGAGCCTTGTAATATTTGAAAGATGGCAGATACAGAGCAAAGGAGTCCACCTCCTCAGCCTCAGACTGGACCTGTGGTAAGTGCCATGACTTTTTAGGTTTGATAAGTTTCTTTTAAGTACTAAACAATGACCCCATGATATATATTTCCTGAGAACCAGAAAAAAAAAGTTTTGTGAATTTTGTTCTTTTTATGTCATTATATTGGTTGGCGCATAAGAAACAAATGGAGAAAATTGATTTTGAAAAACAAAAATATTTTATCCATATTTTATTCTATGTCCTTTGTGGAGGACACCAGGATTAAGTTATTCAAAATAAATAAATAAATATTAAATATACATGAAAAGGCATGTATAGGCAAAACAATGTTTTATTTTTTCATTCACCAATCAGTTTTTAGGTTTCAGGCTATTTTTAACCAAACTTTGTACAAAGATGATTCTCAACTATGTTATGAAAGATATGTTATTACAGAATGATTTGATATTAAGGATATAACGATTCACTCAACTCACGATGTGGTGCGATTCACGATACTGATTTCACGATACGATTTTCTCACGATTTTTTAACAAAATGAGATTTAAGACAAATTAGAAATGAAAAGGTGTCCTTTTATAATTTCTCAGACAAAATCGCTAAATATTTAATATTTAATAAAAATAAATAATGACTAAATAAATATTTCTTTGTGAAACTGAAATATAGCAAAACAAGATATGTCAAATAACAAAACTAAATTGAAATTTTAAAACAAACCACAAATCTAATAAAATATTAAATCAAATAATACATCAAAAATCTGTTCATATAAACGAAGGCTTTGCCTGTGGTCTTTCCATTCAAAATTAGAGGCAACCACTGCATTTGAATCACAATCCAAACAAAGATACTGTATACATGTTTTTTTAATCTAAATTAGATTGTGTAATTTGACATTTTAAAACAAAAACAGAATGCTTAGTTTTGTGATACTATACTACATAAAACATCTGCACGAAACCGAAACAGCAGACAAACTAAATGAGATGCAAATTCACTCTCTGCCAGCAGGTGGCGCTTATGGAAGAGGCAAGATGAAAAGAAAAAATACCATCTAAACTTTTCTAAAGACAGTAAGTTCCCCTCAGACATACATTCATATAAACTCCTACACCTAAATGAATCGCGATTTGTTTAGCATCTCAACCGATTTGAATCGTCACATATTTGAATCGATTTTCAACTGGCTCGCAGTTAATCATTACATCCCTAATATCAACCGATTTGAATCGTCACATTTGTATTGATGTTCAACCGGCTTGCGGTGCATCGTTACATCCCTAATATACTATTTTACTTTATGCAATATATGCGTAAAATGTCCACAAGTTGGTATTCCCATTCTATACAATGTATCTATACATTGGATCTAATTTGCATATTAATGTGTTCTTGGGGCAAACCATAATGAAAAAACGTGTAATAATGGGAGTAAAAACTTGGCAACATTTTCAAAAGAATATCTCATGTTTTATAGGAATATTGATCTCTAATTTCTTTCCCTGTTGACTTGTGTCTCCCCAAAATGCCTGATTAACGTGATGTTTGTCCTGGTGTCCTCTACAGAAGACATGTATGAAAATTATACCCTGGTTCGTAACAAAAAGTCATATTCTGATTTGAAAACCCATAACATTTTTCTGAGATGTTTATTTACGACAAACAATTTGAAAATTAGCCAGATTTAAATGATAATTACAAAACATTATCATTTTTACCTAAATTGGATAATTCTGTCAATATCAGCCATATTTAAAGACCCAGGACAGGGAGTGTTTATGATTAAACCTCCAAACATTTGAATGTACTCTGTACAGGACATCCAAACTTAGAACTGTGGCATGTATGGTCTCAGAGAAATTCACTAAAATATAATGTCACAAAAGTCTATGTTTCGGTCCCAGGAGGATATATATATATTTATTTTAGTTATTTTTATGTTTTGGGGCTTTTTAAATCCATTTATTTCAGAATGTTCGTTATAACCTTGACTCGTGATCATATTAATGTATTGCAGCAATTCCTCTTGAGTAATAAGCTGGAAACAGCTATGTGGCTGTCACGGCTGTTCACCGTCTACTGCTCCATCATGTTCATTCTGCCACTGCTTGGGTGAGTCATGTTCTTTTACAAGGCATGTTCACAAGCTTCTTTACCATCCTGTTTTGTTCAAAAACTGGGTGCAACTTTTGTGTTAAGGATCAAATTGACTTTTTTTTTTTCAAATTGACCAAAAATTGGCACTATGAAAAAAACCTTAAAGATTAATTTCAAATTTGAAGACAAAAGTTGTAACAATTTGCCTTTCCAAAACACATCTGTGTTGAAACTTTGCATGCATATTCATGACCCTAATTGAGAAAAAGTCACAACATTTCTAGAAGAAATAAAGTTTAACCAGTATTTCAAGCAATTTGAAAATTCAGTGTGGGTCAAATTGGCGCCAACACAATAGGAGTTAACGATATTGTAGTTTGAGGCATCACATTAGTATGATGAGGACTATTTAGGGTAGTAAGGACACATTTATACTCACAGATTTTTTATTTTATTTTATAAGTGAATGATTGGAAGAAGAAGAATTGCTTTTTTCTGTCCAGGCCTCAAGCAGCTACTAACTTCTATCAGAGGGCATTGCTGGCAAACGCCTTGACCAGCGCTCTGCGTTTGCACCAGAGACTTCCTCACTTTCAGCTGAGCAGAGCCTTCCTGGCCCAGGCCTTACAGGAGGACAGCTGCCACTATCTCCTCTACTCCCTCATCCTAGTCAACTCCTACCCTATCACAAGTATCTTTTCTCAAAGACCCCTTCCTTTGGAAATATCTTGGGGGGAAAATATCTGTTTTTTGTTGTGTTATGGCATCATATTGTCTTTATGCAGTCTTGACTTTTGTTCTCAGTGAGCATTTTTCCAGTGTTCCTCTTCTCACTTCTCCACGCCACCACCTACACTAAAAAAGTCCTTGATGTAAGTCTCTGCCCTTCTCATTTATATTGCTCAAATGTGTATTTGTCATAATTCCATCCTGAATTTTGTCTCTGTTTCATTTGTTCTCAGACCATGGGTCCAAACAGCCTTATGTTTGTGAGGAACTTTTTGAACAAGCTCACAGCCAATCAGCAGAACATCCTAAAGTTTATTGCTTGCAATGAGATCTTCTTGATGCCAGCTACAGTCTTCATGCTCTTCAGGTGAGGACTGACGTTCAGCTATTTTGTCCAGTGTTACGTTTTTTTTTTTCAACCCTGTAAATCCTGACATATGAGATAATAGTAGGGATGTAACAATGCACATACGCACATATTGCATAATGTAAAATAGTATATCAAATAGGGATGTAACGATGCACCACGAGCCAGTTGAACATCAATACAAATATGTGACGATTCAAGTTAGCTGAGATGTTAAACGAATCGCGATACAATTGGGGGTGGGAGTTTATATGAATGTATCTCTGAGGGGAACTGCTGACTGTTTTTAGAAAAGATGGTATTTTCTTTTCATCTTGCCTCTGTATAATGCATATTAAAGTAGTGTTTAAAGATCCACTGAAGTGGCTTGAAACACGCAGCATTATTCTATTCTATGTGTTGACGTAATTTCAACTGAAACAGGAAGACAGGGCGGGACATATCAAGCAGCCCCGCCCCCTTTTTAATATAGGGTTTCGTTTATATCACAACTTGCGCCAGAGCTGTTGAGCTCGGTAAAGCCGCATTTGACAGCTTATGACAGCCACAGTCCCCTTTAGATTCAATATGAAACTGTTACTAAAGTAAAACAGTGATTAATCATGCTTTGTAGTTTGAAAAGTGTGTAATATATTGGTGAATGGCATCTGTGTTATCTCTTCTACTCGTCAGTGCTGTTTCTAATAACGAGTCTAACAGTTTTTCCTCCTAATCTCATCCATATTGCTATAAAATATAGCATTCTGTGTAGAATTCAAATGGATTCGATACGTTTCGTGGTCTGCACCGTCTCGCGCATATGACCCACTCTGTGCTGTTGTGTGCTCTGGGGCCTCATGTATAAAACTTTACGTAGATTTCATCCTAAATGTGTGCATACGCACAAAAGCTAGATTTTGCGTACGTACAAAAGTTTTCAGATTTATAAAGCCATGCGTATGCCAGAACTAGGGCTGAACGATTTTGGAAAATCTAATTGCAATTTATTTTTTATTTTGTATTATTATTTTTTTTTTTTTACCAAGATTGCGATTTAATATGCAATTATTTTTTAAAGCTCTTTATGTTCTGTATTATTCAAAAAAGACAAGCTATAAATCATTGTATAGTATGACCAACACACTATTATAGATAGATTAAACATAAATGTTCTTTTCTGTAGGCCAGGCCTATATGTTACGATGAAATTAGGTGATGCATGAATTGATATGAATTACATTTTTATTTAACAACTACAATCACAGTATATTGACAGATTTGTTGAACTTCCTACCTTGTAAGCATGTAATAATTATGACAACATAAAGCACTGACAAATAAGCCTGGTGTAAACATTAATATGAAAGTCAGTAACAAATCACACAAACTAAAGTAGATTGCAGAAATATAAAAACAAATCTGTTGCTTTACCACAC